GCTTCCCAGCATGCATTACTCTACACTCCAAAGCGGGGTGACAGAAACAATGCTCATTTTTACAGCAGAAACAATATGGCACTGTTCACAAGGGCCCCCCTAGTGTTCACTGTCAATAGGGAAACACTGTCTTAAATGGTCAAAATGGCCACATCGGTTTTGTCTTTGTTTCTCTCAACTATCTCCCGCTTTGCATTTTAAATAGTTTCTCGAGGCCGGCCTTTAGGGATCCACGGTGTATGCTGGTTAGGATCCTGTAGTTACATATTTGGGGGAAATACTTTTCAAAGTACACTTGTGGCAGGATGGAGCACAAATTCCAAGTTCATCATCCTGCAAATGAGCTTCAACTCTTAGACTGCTTTATGATAAAAGGTTTTGCAAAAACAGTCGACTTGTAGTGGGGCATCAAAGAAAACTCAACTCCACCACAACACTAGTGCCATTGCTAAAAACTTTTGTTCAACAGAACACCACCACACTATACCCGGCCCATTCATAAAGTCAACGCAGCTATACAAGTCAGTCGGGAAAAGTACCTCAACAACCACAAGAAAATGCAGGCTATGGGAGAATCCACAATAGTGAAGAACATCGGTTCTGCCCGCCATACCCGGGGCCTCTTATCTGTTGGCGGAGTGGACCGACATACATTAGAAGCTGCCATCTTAGGTTAGAGACTTCGCAGAAGGTGGGGGTAGTTATTCGGTGATATTTCATGGGATGCTCGATTATCAATTAACGTAGTTTGGTCGTTAAACAAAATGTAGTGTTATTTGCTATGCGAATACTTTTTTCGTTTATTATCAATGAGTTTTCGTTCTATTATGAAATGTTGAAAGTAGTCACTGTAGTTGCTGGCAACCCGCATTATGCTAACGTTAGTTGACTGATTACAACAATGGAGAGAGAAAGAGAGCAACACGGCCGGGAAAATTTAGGAAAATAATGTCAGCTTGCGTTTACAAATTCAGCAACGCACAATACAGCAGCAGGTGTTTTAAAATCGAAAATCGCTGGCTGAACATAGGCTAACAAGTTGAGAAAGTTCTCCAAAATACTGTAGCTACACGTCTCTTGATAAAACAAGCCCTCTTATCAAACTTTAAAACGCGGAAACAAACTGCATGCTGTTGAACAAAGTGGCATGAAGTAACATTCGCCATCAAAGTAGCTATTAGCACATGATTAGCCTTTGGGCTAGCAGCAAGACAATGAGGGCGATGATAGTGGCCGAATGTTGGCTACAAGCGCAACTTCTCCACTACAAGCAATGGGCCACCTCCAACTAGCTAGCAGCAGGCTAATTAGGCTACATTATTACGCACATTTTGGACGGAAACGCACCACTCACCTCGGGTTATTCCCTTCAAAAATGTTTTTATCTCGAACAATATAAGCTGAAACCCAGTGTTTTGATTATAGCCCATGTATTTTAACAATTATATGGATAGATCAGGGCGAGAAGATAGAAGGCTAACTAAACAGGGATGACCGTCTGGCCTCAAGCAACCCCCTGTCCCTATCCATCGTCCTATAAAAACAACGGACAGGCTACTGTTCACCCCGTCGTTATCAAGTTAAATCTCATGTGAACGCACTCAATTTATGAAAGGCAAGTTAAACTTTAGTCACAAAATCCGATTGTGTGGTTTGCAGTAACAAATTCCCTATTTGTCATAGTGCATCCAGGGAATCTCCCTCGCGCTAGCAATCTATACTAGGTTACTCACTCATTCATCTCGGCCACTGACTCACCTCTACGTTCGAACCACCTCGTGTCTCACTAGCTAGCTCAACACACAATTAGCTAACACAAGCTAACGAACACCCACCCTTGCAATATTGTATTACAAAAACAAGGTCACAATTCAACATTTTTCTAAATTCAAGTTGTTCACAATTGTCTGTGTTTATTGAGAGAGCTCACCGTCTTGGCTAATATTCTTCACTTGGTGAAAAAACTCAGGACTCACTCTGCTCAGTGCAGCGGGTGGGGAGCTAAACTTGCTAACTGTAGTTAGCATTTTAACATGGTAATTTACGGACGTTCAATGACTTTTGTTCTATATGAGAGAAAGGGCACACGATTTCCTGCTCAGAATAAGTTTTCTACTTAAAGTTATTTGCTAAATAGACGTCCCAGCTACCAAACCAACTTCCATGGTATATTAAAAGTCGATTGTAAGTGGGATCTAGTTTTCAAACATATTACTGTACATGTCATTGGTTATTTACAAGTAAGAATAACACACAACTAGTTAATTTACCATGTGAACAAACTGTTCTGAGCGAGTATGGAATCCAACCGTTTAAAAAAGCATTGCTCACTTACCCAACAAGCTTGGTTGGTCAGTTCAGGGTTTCGCAAATTAACTCCCGTAGTAGCTATCTCCAGTAAAATCCTTTCTGGTCCGTTTATAAATAAATCAATTCAAGTTATTTTCTAATGTTCCGCGTGTCGTTATCCCTTCCTCGCCGACTCTGCCTCTCTCATTTGTGTTAATTTAACTCAAATCGAGTTTAATCCGATCGATCCCGGCGGTCGCGTTCTCGAGTCCTCTCCTCCAGACATTCGCTCACCTTCTACGGGTAGGGGGCGCGTTCATGGCTCCAATGGATAAACATGCGTGCGCGTGATGACCCTACTGGGCTGTGACGAATGTGCGCTTTATTATTCATTTATTGTAAAATAGTAGACGCGATTAAAGATAGATATTTTCATTTCTTATTTCGGCGTAGGGTTGTAGGAGTTATTCATACATGTAGTGTGGTAATTTTGTAAATCAGTTTCCCTGTGTACAGATGATAATAAAGCGTGGCAGAACAGAGTTGTGTAACAGATAAATTAATATGACTGTAAGAAAAAAATGTGTTGTGGATTCAAGTTGCTTCTCAAATGATAAATCCTATCACTTTTCATGGGATATTAAAATCTCTAAATAAAATCTTTATTTCAATTTTCTGTTTCAACCTGAAATGATGGACCTGTAAAAGCTCAAAACGAGTTTAAGACAAGTGTTCTCAATTGAAATGGATCTGTACCACATGCAATGAGTGGGTGGTTTTTATTTGTGGTGCATCAGTTCGACCCCGAGAATTAGTTTCATAATTCCATGTCAACTGCAGATTAATAATTATGATCATTAGAGATGGACATCATGCAAATTCACGATTCATATTTACATATTTGCTCTTCTACCGAGGGAGCCTATTATTCTACCTAGTCCCTTGGGCACGCGCATGGCCAACCTGAGACCCTGTCGATTTCAGAGTAGTTTGAGACCTTTTTCACAGTAAAAAGCTAAACATGTGCAACCAATTGCGGTAGAAATATTTCAAGATGAAGAAATAAGTCTTTCACACAATCACACTTTTGTGAAGGTCTCTTCCTTGATGGATTGCACAGTATAGTACAGAAGAATCATCGGGCAAGTAACCCGGATGTCCCTTGCGCGGCCATTCATTTGCTTATCATAACGACCTGCCCCACAAGAGTAGTGTATTTGAAGGCGCATGCACTCCCTTTTTGTATGTCCAATGTCCTCTCAAATCCACTGTATATCTTACTTATGCTTGTAAATATTCCAATGGATTACTTATACATTTAGCAGTTTTTTGCACAGCATTTAATAGTTTGTCTTTAAAAATACATGTAGTTTGTGCTTGTGGGTATAATTTGCCTGTGAGAAGGCCATCTTGATTTCACATCTACTGTGAAGGTCACTACTCTAATTGCATTCACTAAAATCAAACTTTCATTTTCGAAATGGTTAATAAAATTCATGCAGGCATACTACCTCTACCGTTTCAGATGGTTCACTAATCTGTTCAATTTCAAGTTACATCCAAATGTTGGGGGATAGAATAGGGATGAGTAAAAAAAAATATCTCATGAACTGTCTCTATTGCTGACTGCAATCCATTCCCACCTGAAACTAATTTGCTGTACTGTAGGCCTATTTGAGAAGCATGTGGCGCAGTGTTACAGTGGGGATTTTATTTTATTTTATTCAGCCACCAATTGTGCAAGTTCTCCCACTTAAAAAGATGAGAGAGGCCTGTCATTTTCATCATAGGTACACGTCAACTATGACAGACAAATTGAGATTTTTTTTCTCCAGAAAATCACATTGTAGGATTTTTATTGAATTTATTTGCAAATTATGGTGGAAAATAAGTATTTGGTCACCTACAAACAAGCAAGATTTCTGGCTCTCACAGACCTGTAACTTCTTCTTTAAGAGGCTCCTCTGTCCTCCACTCGTTACCTGTATTAATGGCACCCGTTTGAACTTGTTATCAGTATAAAATACACCTGTCCACAACCTCAAACAGTCACACTCCAAACTCCACTATGGCCAAGACCAAAGAGCTGTCAAAGGACACCAGAAAGGTGCAGTGATCATTTGGGAATGAAGCCTGCAATTCCAAGGTGCAGTGATCATTTGGGAATGAAGCCTGCAATTCCAAAACTCCACACAGCTCTGAGGACAAGCATGCTTTGTGTTTCACTTTATATATTGATAGATCAGAGCTACAATACAGTATGGATACATATATAATTGTTTCATTCATATAGCAACAGACACACAGAAAATAACTATAGACAGACCAGAGGCAAAATATCACTTCTAAAAAGTAAATTACAAAAAGAAAATTTTAAACATAGCAATTTTCCCCCCACATGACAATAAAATATTTCAGTTTAGAATGTTTTATTATAGTTTGTGATATCATTTTTTCATTTTTAAGAAGAACCAACACAGCAAATAACGTCTAGGGGGTCACATAGATACTCCAGGTTTGGCTTTTCCCGCGCCCCTCTGACGACAGACGAGATGTTCTCCATAATATCTACTAACCGAACGCACTGCCAAAGAAAGCAAGGCTGTACACAGCCACTCACACACACCTACAGGAAAACGCTGCTCTGCACCGCCGCTCCACAGTGGACTGAATGAAAAACAAATTCCTGAAGAGAAAATATATATATATATATATATATATATATATATATGCAGGCTTGTATGTATAAATAGACATACACAGGTTGTGTGTGCGTGTTTGTTTGTGTGTGTGTAAGTATACATGTATGCATTTAAGCATGCATGTACTTTCTAAATATGTGCATGTATACATTTAGAGTATGCAATGTGTGTTTTATGTAATAATGTGTCTATAAGCATGTATGCATGTATAAGAATATGCAAAATGTAGTTACTGGAATGATTCCTTCGCAACCTGATTATGTTTTTCTCATATTTTCTTCTGCTGTCCCAATCTTTCCGTTAACATTTACATTTACATTTTAAGGCAAACAGCTGCGATCTCTTTCCCGAGCAGAGGTGATCAAATTCTGGGGTTTGTGGTTATTGAACACAGGTAAACACAAAATGTTGGCATTAAAATAGATAGATGCAGAATATTGAGCCAAAGTTTCTATACACAGTCATTGTAGATCTAGGGCACAGAGATAGAGAGGAGGAAGGCAGGTGGCAGGACAAACAAAGTCAATTACGTAAAATATCTTAAAATTGTGTCAAAGCAGTTTTTTTTTAGCAATACTGTTGCAGTTTCAAGCTCTATTCGTACAGTATAGATTTCCCCAACAAATTCATCAAAGAATTCTAGCTTGGTCAACACACACCAAAGTAAGAAAGGATAACTATAACTATATATACAGAATGTGACTGATAAATACAGAATGAAAACAGTCCTGCTTTTTATCTATTTTCTTCTTTTAACTTCACTTTAGACATGGCCGTTGCTTCTCTTTTATTTCAAACTTCGAGTTCACCCCACTTTCCCAAAGCTTTCTTTCTCCCACATGAAACCGATTAAAATACTATCGATGACCAACCTTGTAGTGTTAAATACAATTAAGCTTTTAAGTCAAAAGGGCACAAAGAAAAACAAAACAAAATCCTTACTTGGGAGTAAAAAAAAACAACAAGAGACATGATCCACAACTGGCTGACAGATAGATAGATATGATGAGTCCCGGTCCTAAAGCATCCTGCCTGTTTTACCACAATAGTAACAACCTATCAATCTACAACCAAGACAGGCTCCAATGCTCTTATACAGGGGAGCGTTTTGCCCCAGGACCGGGGTACTTTAACGTGTTTTGCTTGGTATTTTTGACTGACAGCCACCTAGTGTAAGATTAGACTCTCTGTTGGCAAGGCTGTGGGGAGGGAGGGGTTAAGAAAATGTTAGTGAGCCCGACCAGTCCAGTAGAAACGCAAGGGGCGGGGCAAGGTGGGGTGGTTGGGAGGGGTATGAGACATGGGGGCGAGGGGTGTTCAGCAGCATCCCCCCCCGGCCTGTTGACCCCCCTGGCTACCAGAGAGAGTGGAGTTGGTGGCAGCGTGCTGGGGCCCGATCTTAATGCCGTTAGCCTGCCGAGACAAAACCACAACACAATGCAACCGGTTAGTGGATTCAGGCAGTCAGGAAAATGGAACGTGATGGTGGTCAGGTGTGATTTGAGGATTGTGTTTTTATGGGGTGGATGAAATGGACATCATAACAACCAATATCAATGGTGGCAAATTCTCTTTGGCTCACAGTCCTTTGTACACATCATCTCTCCCACACAAACACACACTAACGTACACAGGCACACTCAGCAGCAGCAAGCAGCACTTTCATCCATTGCACTGCTTTCATCTCCCCAGCCCTTCAGTGGCTGAAGAGAGCGCAGAACGGCTGAAAGGCGGCACTCCATTGTGAGCCTGGGCCGCTGTGACTTTCAGCAGTAGTAGTAGCTCTTAAGGAAACTCTGCATCGCTCTAAATCAGATTTATAGTGTTAAGGGAAGAGGAGGAGGTGGAGGGGGTTCCTCACTACGTTTGCCAGTGAGCGTGGGGGATTCTAGCCAGGGCTTCCCCCTTCGTCAGTCAGCTGATGCGGTTTGGACCGTGTGCCTGGCCTCGCTTTTTCTCTCTCCCCTCTTTCTTTTTTGTACTCTTTCCTACTACTCTAATAAAAAGCATACCCAATGGCTGCTCAGGGGCTCGCCTCCTTCAGGCTGGCTGTAACCTTGTGGGATGTGAGGAATTTATGCGCTGGCCAGTTGCCAGGGCTAGTGGAGAGAGGGAAGGAGGGAGAGGAGAAGGGAGAAACGGTGGAAGTTTTGCTTGGCTCGGCAGACTGGAACCTGCTCCGCTTCTTCTCTCCCTCCTTTAGAGAGCGATGGAGTGTGGGCTGCTGCAAATAAGCCGAGGCGGAGACGCTGCCTCCAAAATATGAAGTGCAGAGAAGGACGCATCGTCTCTCAGAACTATGTGGCTACGTAATAGGGTTAGCTAGCTAACACAATGGCGTTCTGGCCTTCAAAATGACCTTTGTTAGATAGGACTATATCCAATGGCTGTTCTGTCAAGGTTTTATCCTTATTTACTCCTCTTCACTCTGTTTATGACGTGGGCTTAGGCCACTACGAAGGGAGCAAGGGCGTTTGACCACTTGGCCATACCTCAGTTGATGACTTATAACGAAAAAGTCAAGATATGTCAAGAAGATGGTATTTGTCAAAGCTGCAGTGTACAAAATGGACACCAAATGTGTTTCTCTCATGTCAAATTACCTCATTGTTGATGTCGAAGACACCCTCCTGAATCTTCTCGTATATCTCCTTCGCTGTGTTGATGAATGCCTGAAAAGAAGAAAGACATAGACTAATTAGTACAGGATCAGAGCTAAAATCCACACAACCTAGACGTGACAGTTATAATAGATTATAAAAATCGGCAAGCCTGCCAGATATCAAGCCTCGGACCAATCAAACCAATATATGTGGGTCTCGTTGACTGAATAAGCCCTAAAGAGTGGGATATACAGGAGTTTAGGATGAGTAGCATTAGCTCATGAGGCTCTGGCTTGTTGCCACAGAAAATAAATCTACAGCGCTCCGCTGTACAAACGACGCGAGCAGACGTATAAACAGAGATGATCAGTTTCTTTCGGTTGTACAGTACAAACATTTGAAGACCATTGAATTGGGAGTTTTAGCCTTAGTTTTAGCCTGAATTTACACCCCAGTTTAGGCCGTATAATCATAACCTTATGTACACCTCAAAAACGAGTCTAGGGCAGGGCCCTCCTCTACAGTAAATGCTGACTGAAATTCATATTTTTAGCACGGAATGAGGCCTGCTGCAGAATCTGAAAACAAATGTCCACCTCAGCTCAGGAGACCCCGACCTGGTCCTGTCTCTACCCTCCCTGCCTCTTCACGCATTAATATGTTAAACAGCAACAGATGTGTTTCCCTCCGCCTGAGGCAGAGCGCCCCCACCTGGCCATAGAGGCCCAGGGCATAACCCAGGGACCCAGCATTAGCCTCAGCACAGGCAGAGAGCACATCTCTCTTCATATAGTGCTTACTGTAGGAGCACAGGGTCAATGAAATATAAAGAATGTCCACCCACCCACCATACCGTCTAAAAGATGAGGCCTGATTGGCTTTCGGCTGTCGCGGAGGACAGGGGAGGGGACGTTATGAATATGGATGAGCTATAAGTGGGCGATGTACACGTCACGTCGCAGTGAGGGAGAGGGGGAAGGAGATGGAGGAGGAGAGGTATCGGGAGGATTCAGGGGACACTAATGAGACAAATTAATCATACCAGGGGTTTCTGCAGGGGGAGGGGGTTTCCATAAACCAGTCTCTCCATGCCTTAAATCCTCAGAAATAGAGCCTGGCTACCCAGCACACTGGAGAACAGACATGCATGTGTGCATTGGAGTGTGTGTGTGTGTGTGTGTGTGTGTGTATATTTGTCAGAGCAAGAAAGGGGGGTATATTAATAGGCAAACGTGTGAGTGTGAGAAAATGATGTTGACATAACACACACACAATAAATAGCACAGTGTGAGCAAGAGGTACCTCTTCTACGTTGGATGCAGTCTTGGCGGAGGTCTCCATGAAGATGAGGCCGTGCTCTCTGGCAAAGGCCTCTCCCTCCTCCTTCTTCACCTCTCTCCTGGACTCCAGGTCACTATGTGAACAAAAAACCCACAGTTGATATACACAGTACCATAGCCCTGTGTTACGCTAGTATGGTCTTGTGTTTTGCACCAAATTATCTGTTAATTCATTCTGTCACTTTTGCCAGTTAGGAGATATGTCATCTAACTAGAGGAGACAAGAGCACACACAGGGAGCAGGGGCTGTGAAACTGGGTGGGTGCATCTCAATTGTCAAAAATGACTTCCGCTCCCTTTTTCCTTTCCTTCATCGGCAATTGTATCATAAAATTGACCTGGTGAAAGCAAATTACACACTCAAGCATCCACCATTTTGATTTTACATAACCTACACTTTCAGATATATTGATGAAGAAGAGGAAATGACGAAAGGGTGCCATTTCAGACCTTTGAGGCGCACCCAGTTTAGTAACACGTTTAGTAGCCATGACAACCATGACAGGGTTGTTTGGTAACCATGAGTGACAAGGAGATGAATCTGACCTCTTGTTCCCAATGAGCATGATGACCATGTTGGAGTTGGAATGTTGGCGAGCGTCCTCTAACCACGTTGTCAAGTGGTTGAAGGTGTCCCTTCTGTAAAACAGGAACAGACGAGCAACATTGAGCATAAGAACACAATACATTGTCCTTTCCTAGTAAACTAACGTAATTCATTAGGTGAATGTAGGTCCCTTCCGTAACAACAAAATTTGACCTACATGAGCAAAATAAGGACATTGGGTGGGAGACATTGCATTCAATGAAATCCCAAATGTATTATACAAACATCAATCTCAGTCGCTCGAACTATGGTTAAACTGAATTAGCTGGATAAGAGATGACCTTTCCTCCTACACAAAAGCATTAAAAATCCATTATTTGTTAAGAGCAACAGTCGTGACCTGAACCGTAGGGTAGGACCTTGGGTGAGGAAAGTTGACTTAGTTGCCAAAGTAGCCCTAGTGTTTATATAGAATGATAAGGCCTGGGGAGAAAATGGCTACCAGACTGACCTTGTGATGTCGTACACTAGCAGGGCACCGGCTGCCCCTCTGTAGTAGGACCGGGTGATTGAGCGGAAGGATTCTTGGCCGGCCTGAGAAACACACACACACAATTAGCACCAAAGACAAACAGACATAGTACACACACACAGATGCTCAGTTAAAACAAAGACAAACCTCAGCACAGAAGCATAGCAACCTATAGTTAAAGGGTACAAAGAAGAGCCAGCAGTACTACAAAACAGTAGTAGCAGTAGTAGTAGGGTTAGGCTATTTTACGATTGCATCGTCTATCGACGATTGTTTGACAGCCATCGTCGATGGTGACGACATCGTGATGTCACAAACGATGGTTTAGCATATTTGAATGAGACTGCACGTCCGGAGTCTGGCAGCGCACTACAACGCAGCGCAGTGAGCACACAGCAGGGAAAAACAGTAGTAGTAAGCTGAATATAGTATCAACTCTTAAAGGAGTCTTACTCTAAGTGCTCAAGGGTACGTTGGGACAGACCAAATGCTGTTCATACCAATACAGTGTCTGGTATACCGTATTAGTAGGGTCAGGGTTTTTTTTATGAGCCCAAGTCCTGAAAAACTCCTGGAACTAGCAATGTTTTACTCATTCATGACCTGCCTAGTGCCTACCCCACTCCTCCAGTCCAGGTTTCCCAGTGCCTTTCCCTAATCTATACACATTCCTAACACCATAGAAATTCCCAACTAGAGAGCCATTACTCCAAAACCAAGCTTCCTGGTTTTCCCTCTGCAGCTTGGCAGAGCACAGGCAAGCCCCTGTCACTGTGTACAAAAGGCTCCTCTCTTTCTCTGCATCCCTGACTGACTGACTCCTCACAAACAAGGGGCCTACTGTGTTCCACACAGCCCATAATATAACATTCTACCACTTTGGCCAATCACAACTCCCCATTCTCTCGCTCTCCACAGTCAGTGTTGGTTTGTATAGCAGGCAGGCAGACCAGATCTGTCGATAGATACTATTGTCATTGTGTTATAAGATGGCTTCCCTCTTCCCTGGCTAACGGCTGAGGACTATTGAGCCTTGATTCTGTTCTCCTCTGGCCTAGCAGCAGGTGAGTGCGAGCCAGGCAGCTAACGCTCTAGCACATTTGAATTCAATAAGGCCCAGTCAGTCCCTCAGTTAGTCCGTGGCAACAGTCCCCCGAGGCAGCTGCTAACATTGGAGCTAATGGAGGCCATTGTGAATAAATGATGAATGACACTTTTATGCCTGCCATCTGCCAGAGCTCAAAGGTTACAGGAAGGCCAGAAATGCAGATTTGGGCTATTACATCACCCCCAGGGCAGGCAGTGCCTCCCGGCTCCTCCTCCAGTGCTCACACACACGGACACCCACACACTGATAAGGCTACACGGCCAGTACACACACCCTGTGTTTGATTGTGACTGTCTTCTAATGGAAGGGATATTCATAGTGGTGTGTTGAAAATACCCATAAGATTTTATTAGGTTGATAACCAAAGTTCGCAATCAAAGGTTGTCGTTTTTATCTCCAGATATTACATTTACGTCATTTAGCAGACGCTCTTATCCAGTGTGACTTACAGGAGCAATTAGGGTTGTGTGCCTTTCTCAAGGGCACATCGGAAGATTTTTCACCTGGTCGGCTCGGTGATTCGAACCAGCGACCTTTCAGTTACTAACCGCTTGCTAGGCTACCTACCGCCCCATCTCTCTCCGCATCTATTTCTGCTGAATTCCAGCCTTTCCCCTTTACATCAACCAAAATGCACCCAAGTTACCATGTGGCCTAGTAAGCACACAGCAGCAGCAGGCTCTACATCTGTGGCCCAGAAGGCCTTTCTAGGGCCTAGGACCACCACCACCATCCATCAGCTTTACTGCTGTGGATTCTATTCGTATTTGTAGGGCTGTGTCTCCCCCTACAGGCCAATTGTCATACTACTCCTACACCAGATAATCTCCTGTTGTGTTCATATTTTCTCAGCACTGCACAGGGAATCACCAGAAGGCCACAATGGGAAATCTTAATTATCACTTCACACTTCACTTCTAAAACACCAGTCAAATTCAAAATAGAAAACTTCTCACAAGGACAAAGCTGAGAGATTATTTGAAAAGAGGGTGAAACGTGTGAACAGCGAACTGACATGCTGTTGTGTAGGCGCTGTCATTATTTTCCTTTGCAACATGTCCATGCTGACACACGTGCTGAACGAAATGTTCACTACATGTCAAAGGGGGAAAAAATAGCTAGTCCTGCTGTACAAGAGTCCATTAGGGAGATACACCATATTGGATCTAATATTTAAGACTATTTAAATGCTGTGTGTGTTTAAGACTTCAAAGAAAATACAACTTATTAGACTTGTTGGGTTAAATTGGGTGAATTACACACTGTGAGTGGGTGCCACTGGCATCATACGATATAGATGCGATCATCACTACGTGGAAAATATTTTTATCACTTTGAAAAACAGTATTCATACATTAATGATTACAGTTTACTCCTGATAAGTGCAATTCAGATAAATTCAAGTTCCATTTAATTGAATCGGGACAGTATAATACTAGATACATTTAGGGTGTCCAATAAAAAAAATTTTTTTTTGAAAAATAATATGTTAATTGTGTAGACACTCCTCTAAGAAAACCAGTAGTCCAAACCTCAATCTCTATCATAATCTGTTCAACATTTTTAGTGTTTATCCTTGTAGGATGGCCAAGATTAGGGTGACAAAAAAAGTGGTCAGAAACCATGAAATTAGCATTGCGTCAGCTAGACTGGATGCTGTGAGAGAGTTAAGACTACCTGAGAGGCTCACCGTTGGACTCGTCATCTTTCTTCTCCAAATCCGGAGGACATAAAACAATAGAGGTAAGATTGATATCGATTTTGAGACATTACATATTTTAGTATACGCTTTTCATTAATGCGAAATTCCTGTTATTGTTCGAAAATGTCTCACAAAAACAAGCGTATGTCTGAAATGTCAACGGACCACTGAGCGTAACTTGTTTTTATTTATTTTCAAAGCCTTTTACAAATAATTCCACTCATGTCATGTAATTTTTGCGACCCGCGGAAACAACTTTGCAGACGACCACCACATGTAAAAATCCTCAAAAGTCGCAGCGAGAAAGCGGCACCGCTCTGTCAACAGAGCTTGTGCTTATTATCGGATGTAGTATTAGGTTACAAAATCAGACTTTTTGGATATAATGTTAATTCATCATATATGAATCACAGTTGTCTTAGTAAATGTGTTTATAACATAAGGAAGTGAAATGACCAAAGCGTGTTTTCAGCCACTCTGGGCAGGACATTAATACATTTTACTTAATCGTTCCGGATAACAGGATGCTATCACAAACAGTCCCAAGGCGTTGCACAACGTCAATTTCAGTTGCACAACGTTTTGAAATATTGTGCTACACTGTGCCCTAATGAATACCACCAAGGAGTCGCCTGTATTCAGGTAAAATCACATCTGTTCATGTGGTACAGGGCAGGTATCTTACCGTGTCCCAGATCTGCAGCTTGATCTGTTTACCGTCTATAGTGATCATCCTCGCCCCAAACTCCACACCTGGGAAAGACACCCACCACCACCAGGTTAAACTGTCAGTCTACAACTCCTGCTGAAAACACTGAGTTGGTCCAGGAGTTTTTCATGACCACGTGATCTGACCAGAAAAAAAAACATGGGCCCTAGTTCTAGGCTAGTGTTTAATGGTCAGGTAATTTGGTCAGGGAAAAGACCTGGTCTTAATCATAAGCTAGCTACCTGCTTCCACCACAAATACGCCCTAGCTAAAAGCCAAATGGTGTATAATGGTTACAGCTGAGATGGTCTCATCTACTACACTGTCAGACACTGGCCAAACCGGTACACATGAAATCATTAAAATGCTAATACATCCAGCTCTCTCCTAATGCCAACACATCTCCCTCATCTTCACAGGTTAGACCAGAGGCGAGGGATGAAAATCCTTTAGAAATGAATGAATACGATGAGGGGATCTGAGCCGAATGATGAGATGATTTAACTGAGGTCCCTCCAGTACAGCTAGGCAGTGCGGATATATAATATAATATAATAATAATAATAATATAATATAATATATGCAGGATACATTTCAATCACAGTCGGTCGTTAAACCTTATAATGAATAATGACGTGTGATATAGAGGAGCCTTACCGATAGTGAGGTCGTGCACCGGCTGAAACCGCTTGTCTGTGAACTGTAATAATAGGCATGATTTCCCCACACCTGCAAAACAAAACAACATGCGCATTTAAAAACAGAGGAACAAATAGTCACTCCGTCTGCATAGGGGCAATTCCACAGTAAGGAAATTATGCTGACACTCAGATTTTTCACTTATAAATTTCAAAGTTTAACAAACCATACAACTCTATGCGCAAGGATTACTTTTAACAATTCAGACAGAACATTTGACAAAAACACATTTATTGGAATTACAGTGAAGATGCAAAGTTTGATAACAAAATGACAGTTTAATCTGTTAGCAAACGTTGCATCTGCACTGTTCTTCCAAGTAAATGTGTTTTAGCCAAATTTTCTGTGTAAATTGTTAAAAGTATTCCTTGTTGGATGGTTTGTTAAACGTTGAAATCAATGGATTTTGTTTGGCACACATTTTAAAGTGAAAAATCTGAGTCTCAGCGTAATTCCATTACTGTGGAATTGCCCACGACTAACATTGGCAAGTCACACACACACGCTTTGTAAAACCAACCACGCTAGTCGGCTGAACCTATGCCAAAACTCTGGTACTTTTCATCATATAGCTTGTCCTCCATCTTCTTTTTAAATAGTGAGCCAACATGTTTTCAGCACTTATTTCCATGACTGATCAAAACTCATTTTCTCATGCTCTCTCGTCTCTCTGCAGCAGACATATAAGTGAGCAATACGTTTGGAATATCAAATCGCAATATATATAGAATCGTGAGATTTGCAATACATATCATAGCAGCAGCTAAGTATCATGATAATATCGTATTGTGAAGTCCCTGGCAATTTCCAGCATCTGGTCTCACGCACATGAAAGTCACTGAATCTCAGTCTTTAATATGATGTTAGACATCAGAGTAATAGAAAGAGAGAGTAAAATGTCAGACTGTATCAGGCCCTACACCCACACAATGGTAGAAAAGCTCAGTCAGTCCTGCTGGAGCCTTCGCTCTAGTTAGCATATCAAGATGCTTCTGGCAGGTGGCTGGTCAAACAAGTAGAATTCTGATTATCATGCATTTCTGGAGTAGTTAGAGGATGCTGTAAACCACAGATTCAGGGTCAGATATTGTTACATCCCCTCAATGGTTCAGTTTGGGAGTGGGATAGTGTTATCTGATCTTAGATCTGTGGTTAAGAAGAGTGATTTCTTTCAAGATAGTTTCTTCAGAAGGACCTATATTAGAGGCCATGTCAACATGATGAGGACGCTCCTGATAGGGCCGGCTATGTTATCCATAATGTCAAATGCCATGACTCATGAGGTTGTTTGGTGTGATGAAACCAAGATACTCCTAGGTAGCACAGACTATAATGACTGCAAAAATGTGCCTAATGATTGGTAGCCAAATCAATTCTTTGTAGACTCAGGCCTAAAAATAATGTGTGATGTGCTCCTGTGTGAGAGAAAATAATCAAATGTGACCGTGAAACACACCGCCATACAGTGGAGGAGGGACCTGTGAAAAGCTGTGTGCAGCAACACATGGTTACAATGCAAACAAGTAGGGCTGGGACGATACCGGTATCGCGATACTCGTTAGTATTGTGGAAAAGGAAACGCAGCACGAAGCAGGTTTAACTTCTGTAGGAAAACAGCCCTAATGTTGGAAACAAACATCATTATGTTGTCATCCAGAGTCATATTTATTTATTTTCCAAGCTATAGCACACAATATTTTACATACAGCAGGTTTTTGAAGGACCAAAGAGTTGTCTGCTTAGTGTTTTCATTTTTGCCATGGAAAAAATATTGAGATGATACTGGTATCGTCAAAGCCCTACAAACAGGTGAAACCTTCAGGACACCAGAGAAGGCTTTCATTAGTGTTTCTATGGGTTACCACCGGCGTTGCTAAGCAGGGGAGCCAGGGTGATGGAAGACATCATGAGAAGGATGTACAGAAACAACAAAGCAAAGTCACCATTACACAACATTACCATGCACCTGCTAGCCAATCAGCCTCTAGCTCTGAATAGATGTGTGCATCTGGTTCTTTAGTGGTCAGGTCATTATCGTCAAACAAACAGTGGTACTGCTAGTTCAATTAGACAGGCCTGCCAAATCAAAGATTAGCCTAAGCAACCTGTAGGCTAATTGCTATGGTGAAAATAATGAGATGAGCATACCATACTTTGAAGTGTGATTCTATCTAGTGTTCTGTGGTGCATATGGTTCTTTGAAAACAGCTGTTGCTTTTTAATGATATGCCAAAAAGCTTTTCATTGTACTGTGTACCATGTGTATTCTGTGCATATGACAAATAAAACTTCACTCATTGAAATTCTGCATTTGATTTGGCACTGGTGTGAAAATAAACAAAGTTGCCATTTAATCCATTGTGAAAACACTAGGTTATGGAGGCTGAGAAAAACACCCATCCTTTTGGACAGGTGGGGATTCTCCACAATCACCTCATCTAGCCTATTAACCAACAGGATATATCTAACAGCTCCATCAGCTGGGATAGCCATACCTAAACTGCAGTCATGTAGAATGGGAGTGAGCAATTTGATAGCTTGGGTTGCAGGTGCTCACATGATGGCCCACAGTGAAGCCAGGGGATGACACAGGTCTGTGGTGTTACAACTGGACAAGTCTGTTTACTGCTAGGCTTAGTATCAGAGGCAGAGAGGACAACAGGAGTGATATCTGCTCCCAGTATGCTCTGTCTTTCATGCCTGCGTTCAGAGAGGGAAAACTCTCATTTATAGATGTTTAATGATTGTCTTTCTACTAATTAGCTAGATGCTGAGGTCTAGGCGTAAAATAATTTTTGGACAGAAAGGGACATGGGCCTAGGCTACTTAAATGTGTACAGAGCATAGAGCTGGGACGATAAACTGAAAGATATTGACACCAACCATACCGATCACTTATCGCAGACATTTTGCTGATATCGTTCATTACGATAAGTACCCTATCCTAGGGAAATGTGAAGTTTGAAATGAAATAAGTTTGCTAATATGGGTGATTGTTAATGGGACCATTGATGGCTACAACCATCAAACCAGTAGTAATAGTTTAAGGGCTATTTTTTTTTTACTGTGGTGCACATTGTTATTACATTTACGTCATTTAGCAGACGCTCTTATCCAGAGCGACTTACAGTTAGTGAGTGCATACATTTTTATTTTTTATACTGGAATCGAACCCACAACCCTGGCGTTGCAAATGCCATGCTCTACCAACTGAGCTACATCCCTGCCGGCCATTCCCTCCCCTACCCTGGACGACGCTGGGCCAATTGTGCGCCGCCCCACGGGTCTCCCGGTCGCGGCCGGCTACGACAGAGCCTGGATTCGAACCAGGATCTCTAGTGCTACAGCTAGCACTGCGATGCAGTGCCTTAGACCACTGCGCCACTCGGGAGAGACAAACGTATCGTTCTATTTATTGTTATCGCATGAATCCAGGCAATTTGCACTACATTACCAAACATATGTGGACACCTGCTCATCGAACATCTCATTCCAAAATCATGTGCATTAATATGGAGTTGGTCCCCCCCTTTGCTGCTATAACAGCCTCCACTCTTCTGGGAAGGCTTTCCACTAGATGTTGGAACATTGCTGCAGGGACTTCAGCCACAAGAGCATTAGTGAGGTCGGGCACTGATGTTGGGCGATTAGGCCTGGCTCGCAGTCGGCGTTCCAATTCATCCCAAAGGTGTTCGATGGGGTTGAGGTCAGGGCTCTGTGCAGGCCAGTCAACACCGATCTCGCCAAACCATTTCAGTATGGACCTCGCTTTGTGCACAGGGGCATTGTCATGCTGAAACAGGAAAGGGCCTTCCCCAAACTGTTGGAAGCACAGAATTGTCTAGAATGTAATTGTAGGCTGTAGCGTTAAGAGTTCCCTTCACTGGAACTAATGGGCCTAGCCCAAACCATGAAAAACAGCCACAGACCATTATTCCTCCTCCACCAAACTTTACAGTTGGCACTATGCATTCGGGAAGGTAGCATTCTCCTGGCATACGCCAAACCCAGATTCGACCGTCGTACTGCTAGATGGTGAAGCGTGATTCATCACTCCAGAGTACGCGTTTCCACTGCTCAAGAGACCAATGGCGGCAAGCTTTACACCACTCCAGCCGACGCTTGGCATTACGCATGGTGATCTTAAGCTTGTGTGCGGCTGCTCGGCCATGGAAACCCATTTCATGAAGCTCCCGACGAACAGTTATTGTGCTGACGTTGCTTCCAGAGGCAGTTTGGAACTCTGTAATGAGTGTTGCACCAAGGACAGACAATTTTTACGTGCTACGAGCTTCAGCGGGCCCGTTTGCGGCTGAGCTGTTGCAATAGTATTTCTAAGTAGGGCTGGGATTTTTTTTTCCTGTGAACTAAAAACTCATGGCCCTAGTTTCTGGTCAGGAAACTCTAGTAATGAGTAATTACACAAATAAACTTAAGGAGTAGGCCTAACTCTTTATTTATTGCCTTACCTCCATAACTTGCTACATTTGCACACACTGTATATATATTTTCTGTGGTATTTTTGACTTTATGTTTTGTTTTACCCCATATGTAACTCTGTGTTGTTGTTTTTAAATCGCACTGCTTTGCTTTATCTTGGCCAGGTCGCAGTTGTAAATGAGAACTTGTTCTCAACTGGCTTACCTGGTTAAATAAAGGTTAAATAAAAAAAAATAAAAAATTAAACACTCTCCTGGATGTAGGCAAGTCTGGAAAATAATGCACTGACAGATCTGTACTACTCCCAAACGCTAACCGCTGAGTTTTGGGTTGGTAATGGCGTCTCTGGTATTGAAACAAGCATCATATGATATGCTGTCAACAAATACTTCAAGTCGAATTCTGCCCTTTCATCTTAGAGAAATGCAGGGGCTCATGCTGCTAAATATGTTTTTGGCTTTCCTGTGTGTAGGATACACTTCACTGATACTTTTAAACAGAGTAAATCAGTAAGTTGTTACTTTTAAAGGCCTCATACACCCTTGAATGTACAGGCCTTAGTGATCAATCACTGAAGTGATGGAAGTCTAAGCATCACTCTCTGTGGACTTGAGATACTAACCAGGTTACAGGTACACTTCATGTCAGGTGGACCAGCGACATGTGTTTATTTCTCTGCGTCATCATACACTGACATTCTCTCTAGTCAGAGATAGTTAAAGGTAACCTATCTCAGTATCTCTTTTGCACTGGGAAAAATGCAGAGCTAATAGGCTATTTCAACAAGGATCCAGGTTGAGCTGTTAAGCAAAATATGTATAATAACACTGATCTAACCAAATAAGATGATGAAGCACACAGCTAGTTGCACTGTTTTTGATAAACAAGTACCTACGTTGAGTGCTTCTAACAACCTACAGGAAGTTATCTGTCAAATATATATAGGCTTGCTTTGGCAGCATCCACGATATTTCCTCGGTTACTGTTCTAGGCCCTCATCTAGCAACAACAAATGACAGCAAACTGCGTAACATTATTGACGCAACACCCGTGTAAGAGTACATTATCTCAGTTAAACACGACCATGAAAGACCGCTACAGTAAAACCCTAGCCATGGAGGCGGCCGTAGGCAACCGTACCAAAACTCTGTAAAACTCAATTTCGAGGGAGAGGACTTGACGCTTGTGGCCTTGCTTTGTGGCTCAGTTACAAGCTCGCAAAAAAACAGAAAGCCCAAAACATTGATGTGAATGAGTCCAAAGGGGCTGACATGGTCTGTGCAAGCACCCATGTTGTGGAGGGGTGTCAAATTAGATAACGGTTATTGATGTCGCTGTAAACAGCTAACGTTAGCTACAGTAGCTAGCTAGCTAACCAACCAACGACGTTAGCCTAGTACGGTAGCATAACACCACTCTCACAACGCACAGCGGAAAGACAGTAGGCCGTCAGCTTGTTGGATGTGATGTCAACAGTTGCTAAATTAGCACACTAGCTGACCACAAATTGTGCAAATAATGTTTTCTATTTCACGTTAAAGACAAGCGAATGGCATACTATTAACGATGTTAGCAAGCGATAAATAGATATGTCATCCCAACCCTTGCGTCTCCGCTTTTACCACGTCACTGGACTCTCCACCACTGCGGAAATAAAAGATAGCTGCTAGCTCCGTTAGCAATCTTTGCTACCAGTGACTACTTACCCGTATCTCCGATAATGATGTATTTGAAGAGGTAAGCATATGCCATGGCCACTGGGTCCTGTGTCAACCTGCCTCGGCCGTTTACTGTGGCTTCGCTACTTGAAACTGTATGAAAATTGTATCGGTAATCGTTAGCGTTTTGCCTCGCTAGTCTTCGTTCTATCTTCGATGGGAAGGAACAATAAACACCTCCGAGCTTCGGCTGACGACGTCATATGTTCCGCCCTCGCCACGCACGCAAAAAAAAAAAAGATTATTCTGCCCCCGGAAGTCCGTCAACTTGCCCCCACCACCCAGTTCTTCTTCTTCTTCTGAGGTATAATGGCGTTACCCTAACCATTTGCTACTAACAGTTTTTATTAAATATTATGTCACTTAGAAGACTCCTCTTTTTATCTCAATCTACTGAATTTAACAATTTGTAAGACATATCAACAATTTGCATATGATATAGGCTAGCTATTATACATTTACATTTACATTTACGTCATTTAGCAGACGCTCTTATCCAGAGCGACTTACAAATTGGTGCATTCACCTTATAGCCAGTGGGATAACCACTTTACAATATGTATTTTTTTTTTTTTTTTGGGGGGGGGTGGGGTAAGAGGATTACTTTATCCTATCCCAGGTATTCCTTAAAGAGGTGGGGTTTCAAGTGTCTCCGGAAGGTGGTGAGTGACTCCGCTGTCCTGGCGTCGTGAGGGAGCTTGTTCCACCATTGGGGTGCCAGAGCAGCGAACAGTTTTGACTGGGCTGAGCGGGAACTGTGCTTCCGCAGAGGTAGGGGGGCCAGCAGGCCAGAGGTGGATGAACGCAATGCCCTCGTTTGGGTGTAGGGACTGATCAGAGCCTGAAGGTACGGAGGTGCCGTTCCCCTCACAGCTCCGTAGGCAAGCACCATGGTCTTGTAGCAGATGCGAGCTTCAACTGGAAGCCAGTGGAGTGTGCGGAGGAGCGGGGTGACGTGAGAGAACTTGGGAAGGTTGAACACCAGACGGGCTGCGGCATTCTGGATGAGTTGTAGGGGTTTAATGGCACAGGCAGGGAGCCCAGCCAACAGCGAGTTGCAGTAATCCAGACGGGAGATGACAAGTGCCTGGATTAGGACCTGTGCCGCTTCCTGTGTAAGGCAGGGTCGTACTCTCCGAATGTTGTAGAGCATGAACCTACAGGATCTGGTCACCGCCTTGATGTTAGCGGAGAACGACAGGGTGTTGTCCAGGGTCACGCCAAGGCTCTTTGCACTCTGGGAGGAGGACACAACGGAGTTGTCAACCGTGATGGCGAGATCATGGAACGGGCAGTCCTTCCCCGGGAGGAAGAGCAGCTCCGTCTTGCCGAGGTTCAGCTTGAGGTGGTGATCCGTCATCCACACTGATATGTCTGCCAGACATGCAGAGATGCGATTCGCCACCTGGTTATCAGAAGGGGGAAAGGAGAAGATTAGTTGTGTGTTGTCTGCGTAGCAATGATAGGAGAGGCCATGTGAGGATATGACAGAGCCAAGTGACTTGGTGTATAGCGAGAATAGGAGAGGGCCTAGAACTGAGCCCTGGGGGACACCAGTGGTGAGAGCACGTGGTGCGGAGACAGATTCTCGCCACGCCACTTGGTAGGAGCGACCTGTCAGGTAGGACGCAATCCAGGAGTGAGCCGCGCCGGAGATGCCCAACTCGGAGAGGGTGGAGAGGAGGATCTGATGGTTCACAGTATCAAAGGCAGCATACAGGTCTAGAAGGACAAGAGCAGAGGAGAGAGAGTTAGCTTTAGCAGTGCGGAGAGCCTCCGTGACACAGAGAAGAGCAGTCTCAGTTGAATGACCAGTCTTGAAACCTGACTGGTTTGGATCAAGAAGTTAATTCTGAGAGAGATAGCAAGAGAGTTGGCTAAAGACGGCACGCTCAAGAGTTTTGGAGAGAAAAGAAAGAAGGGGTACTGGTCTGTAGTTGTTGACATCGGAGGGATCGAGTGTAGGTTTTTTGAGAAGGGGTGCAACACTCGCACTCTTGAAGACGGAAGGGACATAGCCAGTGGTCAAGGATGAGTTGATGAGCGAGGTGAGGTAAGGGAGAAGGTCTCCGGAAATGGTCTGGAGAAGAGAGGAGGGGATAGGGTCAAGCGGGCAGGTTGTTGGGCGGACGGCCGTCACAAGTTGCAAGATTTCATCTGGAGAGAGAGGGGAGAAAGAAGTCAAAGCATAGGGTAGGGCAGTGTGAGCAGGACCAGCAGTGTCATTAGACTTAACAAACGAGGATCGGATGTCGTCAACCTTCTTTTCAAAATGAAGTCATCCACAGAGAGGGGGGGGGGGGGGGGATTCAGCAGGGAGGAGAAGGTGGCAAAGAGCTTCCTAGGGTTAGAGGCAGATGCTTGGAATTTAGAGTGGTAGAAAGTGGCTTTAGCAGCAGAAACAGAGGAAGAAAATGTAGAGAGGAGGGAGTGAAAAGATGCCAGGTCTGCAGGGAGTCTAGTTTTCCTCCATTTCCGCTCGGCTGCCCGGAGCCCTGTTCTGTGAGCTCGCAATGAGTCGTCAAGCCACGGAGCAGGAGGGGAGGACCGAGCCACAATGATTTAGGACTAGCCAGCTAACAATTCTAGGGAGAGAGAATGATTTTGTAATGTTACCAGTAATGTTCCCTTAATGTTTGAGTGTCCAGTTTTCTGTTAGTTATGGGAACATTCTATGTTAGCAAAATCCTTCTGAGAACCATTTTAGCATGTTTTCGAATATTCCATCAACTTCACATCATACATACCCTGCCAGAACATGGTTGCCATGTTCTCATAATATAAGATATTAGTGTTCTAGACACGCTTCATGAGAATGTTGAAAGAACATTCCTGTGTCAAGTTTTCTGAGGGTTAGGAGAATATTCCATGACCGTCTCACCAAACATACACAGAACATGGTTGCTATCTCAGAATGTAAGATATTCATGTTATAGACACATTTCATGGGAACGTTGCAAGAACATTTCTGTGTATCAGTTGTCAGGATGTCACCTAATGGTCCCAAAGAAACGGTCTCCCCCCAAAAAATGCATTACACATCATGCCTTGTTACTGTTGCCAAGCTCATCAAGACCCTGATTAGTGAACCACTGATCCATTTACAGCTCTTTTTGTCTGTTGGCAATGTTAGGGATACTCACACACACAGTGCTTTTAACATACAGCGTTTTCATCTTACATATTTGACACACTTTGTCATACATGATTAAGGTGTGCTTGTTCATTTATACAGTAATTCACACCTTAATTGGGGAGGGCGGGCTTGTGGTAATGGTTGGAGCGGAATCAGTGGAATGGTATCAAATACATCAAACACATGGTTTTCCATGTGTGTGATCCCATTCCATGTACGCAGTTCCAGCCATTATTATGAGCCGTCCTCCCCTCAGCAGCCTCCACTGCAGTAATTATTATTCAACATGTCCTCACCTGCGATTTGAACTCACAACCTCTAGGTTCACAACATTCAGAGCTTTCTACTACACCATCATGTCTGTGTCAGTTGTCAGTTAATTTGACTTTTCTCTCATCATTGATTTGATTGACTTATTTCAACAATTTAAGGGCTTTCTGTATAGTTATCTAATGTTGGTGGGGCATATTAACCTGTTTTAATGATACTCCTAAATCACTATGATCAATACGATATTTTCTTGAGCCTACTTTTAACAGAGCTGAGATTTACTTCAAAGTGCATTCACCCTATTGCTTACACCTATCAAGTTGTTTCAGATCTACACAAGAGCCTAGGGAGGAGGGGTTAGGGTTTCTTCCGGACCGGGCCTAACTATACTGGCCCAATAAGCAAATGCCCTACAGATGTCCCTTATTGGGACAGTGGTGTTTGCCATTGGTGCTGGTGGCCTGGGTTTAAGACTCGCTAGGGGTTATCCTACTCTCTCATTCTTAACAATATTTGTTAATGTCATTATTTGGCAACAGTTACAACACACCTATCTGATCTAATTAAAATGTGTTTCTCAATAAAAGATGGGAATCGGTAGAATTCTAAATAGCTGAGCATCTCAAAGAGAACTCTCTCATCTTTTTGAAATCCACACCACATATAACATGTAGAACAAACACGTGTCTCTGATAAGGAATCACATCAGCTCTCATCATTGCATTTCTATTTGTAACATTTCTAATCGGTTGCTGAAACATGGCCCAGGTGGTAGTGTTGCTTCTGATAGAAACATACCCAGAACATGGTGGCCATATTCTCAGAATATCAGAAATGTGTATATTTACAGTAGCATGTCTGTACTTTCTCACATTTCCCATTTAAGCCATGATGATGCCAGTTATACCAAAACAATACACAACACAGAGTTCCATCTAATGTTTTAATGTGGAAAAAAAGACAAATTGCAACAGAATCACTTGGGACCAGTTTTGGGGGTAAGAATTACTTACAGTTATATATTACAGTTTTATGAGTAACAGAGTAATATAACGAGTTACTGTCTTCAAATATTGTAATATTATTACAGTTACTTTTTCAATTAACCCGTATATTACTTTCAGAAGCATATCTCTACCAGCGTGTTATACAGTGAGGGAAAAAAGTATTTGATCCCCTGCTGATTTTGTACGTTTGCCCACTGACAAAAAAAGTATCAGTCTATAATTTTAATGGTAGGTTTATTTGAACAGTGAGAGACAGAATAACAACAAAATAAATCCAGAAAAACGCATGTCAAAAATGTTATAAATTGATTTGCATTTTAATGAGGGAAATGAGTATTTGACCCCCTCTCAATCAGAAAGATTTCTGGCTCCCAGGTGTCTTTTATACAGGTAACGAGCTGAGATTAGGAGCACACTCTTAAAGGGAGCGCTCCTAATCTCAGTTTGTTACCTGTATAAAAGACACCTGTCCACAGAAGCAATCAATCAATCAATCAGATTCCAAACTCTCCACCATGGCCAAGACCAAAGAGCTCTCCAAGGATGCCAGGGACAAGATTGTAGACCTACACAAGGCTGGAATGGGCTACAAGACCATCGCCAAGCAGCTTGGTGAGAAGGTGACAACAGTTGGTGCGATTATTCGCAAATGGAAGAAACACAAAATAACTGTCAATCTCCCTCGGCCTGGGGCTCCATGCAAGATCTCACCTCGCGGAGTTGCAATGATCATGAGAACGGTGAGGAATCAGCCCAGAACTACACAGGAGGATCTTGTCAATGATCTCAAG